GCCAGGAGCCCCTAGTAGCGTCCTTGCTCCTAGTAGTAAGGCCAGGAAGGTGACGTCCAGCTTCGTGAACGGTCTGAGTCCAAGGACGAACACTTGTCGAGGCTTTCGCATCGTGGCGACCTGAGGCTTTCCGGCTTCCGTCAGCGCTGTTCAGCAGCTGCCGGTGTGAAAAAAAGGACGTTAGGAGCAAGAAGTTGCTTGATATAGCTTTTGGATGAACGAGGTAAAGTAAACTCCCGTTTACTTTCTGCAGTTTCTCTTTTTAAATCGGAATCTATTGGCCTTTGTAGATCGCAACACGTTGGGACAGTTGCAAGTGACAAAGCCAAGCTCCTAAAGTGTCAACGTTTTTTCCTTTGAAAGTGAAGGGATCATCCGAATGGAGCATATATCACATGTCCTTGAAAGCGAGGCAGCCGGGCATTTTAGTGTAGCTGAGCTTCTGGTTCGGTAGACTGGGAACACCTATGGCTTCTCAGATTTTGGCTGAACGGCTCCTGCTTTACAAGAGCATTCTGTCCCAGTAGTGTTGCTTCGTGGCGGCCCTGATTCAGTTGTCAGGGGCTAGGAACCATTTTACCAACAAAGGGAGCTGAGACTTTTGATCGGCAAGTGTTGGAGAAACGCGTTGGCTGCTATCATTCACCCTGCTGGGCCTTGGCTCAGAGATTGGGGTCTCGTGGTTGTGCTTGCATAGACAGCATGGAGTGGGGAAAGGTCGCTTGGATGGATAGACAGCATGATAGTGATGCTTGACGTTCCTCTGAAAAGGACACCCTTTGCACAGAAAACCTGCGGATGATTACTCCACGTGTGGTCCGAGGACACCACTCACATTTGTAGCGCCAAGGTGATTTCTTTGAACACGACGCCCTCCATCGGATCGACCCCACTGGACATTGAGGTGCAAAAACCATGTCACGAGTCTTTTTTTAAAGTTGGTTTGGAGTAAATATGCTGGACAGAATGAGCAAAGACGCGACAGGTGGATGATTTTCCACCTGCAAAGACAGAGCGGAACTTGGCTGAAGGCCGGCTTCGTTGCTCTGTTCATTGTTGCATATTTATACACACCAGGCATCAAGAGTCTTTACCAGACTTGCCAGATGCGCTCCGCTCAGATTTGTTTCCGGCGGTTTCCCACAAAGGCTCTAGTTTGCTCCAAGCGAGGTACGATCTGAACTTGGTGGTGGGGAAGACCAGCTTGCCTGCACACAAGGCCAGCATCTGGTGAGACTTCTGAAAGAGTGTGGGGCTTTGGGCTAGGTGGTGTTGGCATCCATGAGCACTGCATGCTGCGAACAAGTGCGGAAGGCTGAACTGCTGTCCTTCCTTGTGATTAAATCGAAGAAAGTAATGGACGTTTGTGCAAGTACTCATAAGACTAGACGAAACAGGACTGTCTTGAAGGGCTTGAAGAACAGTGTACTGATATATGGGCTCTTGAGAGTTCTTAAGGTCTTTTGTCATGCTTGTTATTTATTCTTTAACGGCAAAGCAGAGCTGCAGAGCTGCAAAGTGTTGGAGAGCCGGAGCGATGTGCCAGGCTGTTGCTGAATTTGAGCAAGGTCTTTGGCTCGGTCGAGCCTCATGGGTCGAGCGTTTCCTTTCTTGATTCGAGCAGATCGCTGTTAGATCCACTGCGAGATCCCCATCAGTATGATCAAGTGGCAGTTGGAGTATCAAGTGGCAGGTCGTGAACCACGTGAAGCGCTGCAGAGCACTGAACAGGTGGCCGAAATCATGTCAAGATTTCAAGATGTCTTCCTTTTCACAAAGCCACACCCTTTCGCTTCGAGACATTGGGTTGGAGCCCAGAACAGGTGAAGACCGGTCCAGAGGCGGAGGCGGTCGTTCCTCTCCAAGCGACTGGAGAGGCGGGTCCACTGGCGGGGTCCTGCGGATGGCGTTTTCTCTGATGTTTTTATGATGACACCAAGCCTGGCGCAAGCCAGGCCCTTGCTGCTTCACCACCGGTGTACAGCAACCAGTGGAAGCCTGACTCTCCCTCCGAAGGCCAGATGAATCTAGATGTCACCGGTGGGTTGAGGGGTGTGTGATCATTCTGAGGTGAGAAAGCTCCTGCTCCAGAGCGTGTATCTCCAAACAAAGACACTTCTCAGGCGCCGGCACTGTGGACAAATTTGTTTTGAAACTTTGACCTCCAACCAGAGATCTTCAGGGCAAAAGACTGTAATGTGGAGAAACCTTTGGCAGAACACAAGCTTTGCTTTGGAATATTTGGGCTTTCGAAGGAAAAGTCTCGGCCCTCCTCGCGACCTGAGCTGGTCCTTGACATTGCCAGTCCTGAGGTTCGGTGAATCTACACAATGTTGACGCTGAGTAGCGAAACTTGGATTCTTGAGGCAGGCTCCCAATGAGCCTCATTTCCCAATTTACCTTGGGAACATGTTGAGATCAAGGTATCTGAGGTATTTGGTCCTGTGACTGCCAGTGAACTCCCAAGCTTGAAACGTGTCTCCGAATCCGAGTCTCCAGCTGAGTCTCCTCCCAGTGGGCTTTGCCTCGAGGCTGCAAGGGCTTTGCTCGACATGGTCTATGGACTGGGACGTGAATACAACATCACCTCCGATGAGGCAGAGGATGGGCGCGCTTAGAGGGCGAAGCTGCCTCCCGTGCATCTCAGTTCGTGCACACCAGGAGCCTTCTACTTCGAACGAATGTGAGAAATTGGTGGGATCATGACCAGTACGACCAATTGGGAGCAAGTAGTGCTGTAGTGAAGAGTTTGTGTGAAAAGTGAACAGAAGGGTGATGCTTCAATCATTTTTGCATACTTTGTTTATCTTCGATATGAATAAAGTGGCGAACATCTCATATCAACTCAATGAAACCGCACAGGCCAACAAAGATGTCTTACGACTGGCTAAGCAGCTGGACATCCCCTCCTTACAGGCGTGTCTGTGTGTCCTGTATGTGTCTGCATATTGTTTGGCCTGTGAGAGGAGCTTGCGACCAGATATTTGGGTGAGCAATTGTCAAGTGAAAATGTCGGGATCCTTGCTTTCTTTTGTAGCACAATTGGTCCGCGACCTACACCGGAACTGAGGCAGTTGCACGGTTACAGACCTGCCAGGAGTTCGGCCTGGATGAAATGTCATTTGTCTGCAGCCATGGTGCAGTGTTCTAAATTCATCCTGTGAATGTTCAGCCTGAACACCATGTGCTACGCACCGGTTCATGGGCCCTCCGTGCCCATTTCGGCACGGACATATTATTCCACGAGCAGTAGGGCTGGGACACATTTGTGCGCACGACTTTGCGTCAACGGCTCAGCATCTCGTAAGAAGGGCGCGAGGCTTTGAGTTGAATCGAACTATGCGGAGTTCACTTTGTGAGGGATTCCACTTTGATTGCTACCATCAAATTGGTAGCGGAGCCTGCGCGCTCGAGCTCCATATGCCATCTGCCACACTTGAGAAAAGCGCCGGTGGCAGCACGAAGGATGGCTGGGTGCCGGTAATCGATCTGCTGACTACCACGAATGCCGAGCCAGGATCCATCTTTATCAGAAGATGGTGCTACACAGAAAAAGCCCATGGAAGGTGTCATCAACATCATCACCGCAGTGGCCTGGAAGCAAATCGAGCCACTCGGTGAGGTAAACAACCAGTGAAGATGGCTTCAATCGGCTTCAACAAGATCATTGAAGTCCTCGACCGTATTTTCAATCATAGAAGCCGATGGTCCTGAATGCCTGCGTGAAGTCGAGACATCAAGCTGCTCACAGAAGTAACTTCTTCGCAGGAGCAGCTTGACAAGGGCGAAGAAGCCTTGCGCTACCTGTTCGGCCAGGACCATACAGGCCTAGTTGGGTTGCTCGCCCCACCAGCAAAAAGACAAAACTTTAGGAAGTGGTGAAAGGCGGGAATGGCCCTACATCAGGAAAAGAGGCTCTCGATGTTGAGGATGACGAGCTCCTCTGCTATCACCAAGATGAGGACCCCCAGACATGGATGAACCAGGTTCCACACCCTGCTCATTGGTCGACCGATTTTGAACGCCGTGATGATTCAGGCGAAATTGGAGGACACCCTGCATTGCCGAAGGCCTGTGGCAGAGCATGGCCCTGGACCCAGAAAAGAACTGCTCGTCCAGCTGGAAGATGGCCTTTTGTGCAACATGAGCACTAAACCCTATGCCTTCAACATGTGTTGGAGCTTACCTGTCAGACCAGCCGCAAGGATCCCATGCCCCAACTTCCCATCAGGAGGACGACAACACCAACAAGACCACCGACCCCTCTGACTACAGAGATGATGACACCACGCGCGGGCGAGCTTTGGCCGGCGCCGTCCCAAGACCAGAAAGGAAGAGAGCACAGGTTGGGACCAGAACAATGACAAGTGGAACCGCAGCCTGTAGGGCAGCCAAGGTTGGAAAGGGCCGCTCAGTGAAACATGTGTGTCCTTGCAAGCACACTGTGCAAAGCGGCAGGAGCTTCGAAACAACGTCTAGGAAACCCTTTGAGCAGGGAAGGCAAGGCTCATCGGAAAAGCAGACTGGAATTGAAGACCCCTTGAATCTCCAACGATTGAGCAGGCAGTCGCTGTGATAGCTTCTCGAGCTACCACAGCAATTGCGCGCTCCAACTTCATGTTTTTGGCGTGTCACAGTGGTTGCAACATGTTGAACTCTCCTGGAATACGTGCGCGGAGAAGGTCCTTGACCACTACGACAACCCAATCAAGGATCGAAGTCCTGGATAATTACGCGCAGACCCATGAAGATTGAACAAGACATGCCTCAAGACCTTCAAAACTCAGCCCATCGACGCCTGCTTGAGCAAAAAACAGCGACGGAGCTTTGAGACAATGAGGGAAGTGAAGGTGGCGGCCGGCAAGGTACAGATTTCTCAAGCCTATCTTTGCGACCACGCAAAAGCATACATGAACCCGGCCAACCCCTGGGTCACTCGAAGATGAACTAACGCAACAGACCGCTAAACCTGGACCCTCCTTCGCATGTGAAGGTTCACCGGCATGAGTTTGTGTCACCAAGTGAAGATTTCGGCGCCATCAAACATCTGCTTGCAACTGCCGCAAAGATGTTTTGCGTCAATGTTTTTTTTGGGGGCCCTTCGACAGGTATGATGCCATTGTGGAAGAAGTTGTGATGACCAGGGATGCGTTGCAACTTGTCGCAGCCAACGAGGAGGCACCTTGATTTTCAGGTTCCCGCGTGTACACCATATGTTTTTTACACATATGTATGTATGTATGTATGTATGTATGTATGTATGTATGTATGTATGTGTGTGTGCCCCTTGTAGTCACAGGGATTCCGTTGAATTGTTTCTTTTTTCAGCAGGGGAGCGGTGGGCATGCTTGAAGTCACCGCTCAACGAAGACACTTCAAGTTTGCTGTGATATGCAATCTGGACGCAGATTGCGCGTACCTGCGAGAAGATGATGAACACATCGACTCTAGTGGTCAGGCTGTTTGCAGGTCTTCTCAGGTGGCGGTAAAGTGCTGATGCATTTGCAGTCACGCACGAACGTCGTCAACCTGTCGCGTGATCGTTGGAGCTTTCGGTTTTGATGGCCTTTGAACATTGATGGACCTCCACTTCCTTTTCAGGTTTCCTTACCTGTACCCCTAGGAAATGGTACCCTAGGCCGGCGTGTGGCACCGCTGTCAGTCAGTACGCATATCCATGAGTGTGTCTGGCCTTG